CCCGGAAAAGGGGGGGGGGGGGGGGGGGAAACAACCCACCCAGGCATTAGTTTACAGGGAAAAAAAAAGGAGATTAAAAGAACTGCTGAATTTATGAAGTCAAACAGAAAAAAATGCTAACTGTCCATGTATAAGTCCCCCTCAGTAAAGCACACAAGGGTGAATAGAAAGATTATTATACAAAAAAATATTGAAAATATTATTTCTGCAGTTAGCTCACTCAAGGGTGACTTTTAAGTTAAACACAGAATCACAGAATAGTTTGGGTTGGAAGGGACCTTAAAGAGCATCTAGTTCCAACCCCCCTGCCATGGGCAGGGCCCCCTTCCACTAGACCAGGTTGCTCAAAGCCTCATCCAGCCTGGCCTTGAACCCTTCCAGGGATGGGGCATCCACAGCTTCCCTGGGCAACCTGTTCCAGTGCCTCACCACCCTCCCCGTGAAGAGCTTCTGCCTGATGCCACACTGTTTTTACCAAGAACTCAAGAATTCTTCTAGAAGAAACATACATTACCTGTGCAAAACAAGTCGGGGCTACATTGCATAACCACAGAACCGCAGACTTGGCAAATGTAAAAGAAAAATAACTCACTCAAAGCAGAATTTCCTGGCATTAAATATGATGTTAGGCTGCCCTCCTCAACCATGAATTTGAAGGATTCATGTCCTTCCTTGAATAAGTGTTTCAGTATTTGTAAACCATTATGAAAAGTGAAACTACAGAAGTACAAGGTAATCAATAATTAGTGTTCATTCAAGTGTAACAGTATCAGACATGAACCCACTGCTGCGTGAATGCTCATCACAGCCCATCCACAGTATGGATGCTCCCATCCAGTGAAAAATATGCACAGCTGGCATGCAAGTCTCTCAAACTGCTTTTGAAATAGTTCAAACTGCCGCACTCTGGCCATAAGATTCCTTTCCTCCTTTCCCCCCATAGCTCAAAATAGAAAAGATAAACCTAATGCTATCTCTGCTTGCTTCCCCTCTAGATCTTAGAATGGTATTACAGTGATAAAAATTTTTAAAGGACACTCGCGTGAGAAGAGCGGAGCTCAAGTGGTTCTTTAAAAAAAAAACTTATGCTGAATTCAGGAGAACTCTGTTGCCTCCTGAGCTGTGCCCTCCATGAAAGGTTTTCCCAAAGCCTGGGCTTTGGAAATTTTTTTCCCCATAGACCACACTCATTCAACTGACTTGTAACACATAGTATTTTATTTTAAACCTGATGCTGTACCTTCTCACCTTGCTGTAACTCATGACTCAGGAATAAACAGCAGCTCAGAGACAGAGGATTAACTTCCTTGGAGCAATATTAGATTAAGTGGCAGCATATAATCTGAGCAGAGGATGAGTCAAGAACTTCAATAAACCCAGTAATGCAGAACTGCCTAAAGCTCACAAGATAAGTGCACATTTCACAAACAGATCTGGGCACGCCTGGTTGACATTGCTGCGTAGCTATAGTGACTGTGCAGTATACTAGGCAACAGCAGCAGCTGGCTCTCCTGTAACCATACCACCCTCCATCTCCTTAGAAGCTCAATTTATGCAAATTAGAATGGTATCATCCTCATACTCTGCATCGGTTTCAGGTATGCAGCATAGATAATGAAGACATTTGGGAACCACGGCTCATTTGAGAGGGACACTTGCACACCACTTCCAACACCAATCACAAGTGCTACGGAGGCTCAAAAAGAATGCACATATTAAATGCGCCAATTTGAGCATTTTAATTTACACATATATCCCCTCAACTGTAGTGAGCCATTTTCAATATTAAAGTTTTCTGCTTCTATAAAACTTTCCCACAATTTTTGCTAACCACATTAAGCCATTTAACTACACCTCTCACTAACCTCTGTGTGCTGTCAGATAACCATTGTACTTGAGTTATTCTAATGAGTAGGTATCTCCATATCCCAGGGCTCTGTTCACATTAATCTTTTCCTTAACAGGTGAGGTAAATGCCAAAAATTACAGTACAAAACCAAATTAGATGTTTAGGATTCAGTTTCTGGTGTAATTTCCAAGCTTTTTGTTACGCATCCTCTAGGATGTTTCAAATCATAGGCCCACACAGTGTCTATTCCCTCTCCAGCAGTATGATCTGGGATCCAGTAAGGGAAAGGAAAGCGGCAGGCAATGATTCTGGCATTACATTCAAGTTCTTCTTCTAGCTTCTTCTCCAACTGTGGCATCTGTTGAGCAACAATAAAAAGCTTTCAGAAGCAGTCAAAAACAGCAGCATTTTCTTTAGAAACCAACTAAGTGTTGAAGAGAAGTCCAAGGTTTAAGGAATTTTTTTAAAAAGCTTAGGAAAGTATTCATGATAGACATTTTTGTTTTGCTGCATTGACAGAGAATATCTAAAACTAGCAAACGGTTATTGTGTCCTGATTTGTGAGGTCGAAAAAATTATAACTTAAAGTTCTCAAAATTCAATCAAAAACTGTAGATAAACCCTTAGATAAAAACCCCATAAACCAAGAAAAGACTTTTCATGTTCCCAGTCATGATTCTGTTCAGTGAGATTCTTCTTGGTAGAGAATGAGGGTTCAGTCCCTGAATTTATGCTATTTATGACACCCCAAGTTACGTGAACTATTGAGTGATACTCAAATTCCCGTTTCTCATAGTTTCCAGCCAGACGCCCAAGACAGATCTTGGGACGCTCAAAACACCATACAGCCGTGAACATATGGTCACTGGTCTGGTCACTGCACGGGGAAGTACCGGCATGTCACACACCACTGAAATGGAGCTTTGCTGGCTCCAGCCTGTTACCATAGGCACAGTAAATCCCTGCAGCTGTACGGTATGAAGCAGCATACAGCACTGTGCAACTCTCCTTGGTGGAACACCTACAGTCTAGCTATCCTCCATTTGCACAAACTGAGCGGATGCGAAGGCCGAGGGCAGGATCACTTCTCTCCCAGAATGGAGCAACACCCTGCCCCATCAGATACTCTGTCTCCCATAAGTACTTTGCAAATTCTGATGTGGATTAAGTGTGAAATGAATTAACACATCTAGACTTCAAAGGAATTTCTTTCCAAGCCCAGAGAGTGATTATGTTCTGAAAAAAAAGTGAAACTTTACAGATTTAGCCATTTTTGTCCTTTGGAAAAGTTTGATGTTACGCTTAAGTACATCAGTGCACATTCATTTGGAATTTCTTTTATTCCTACATACTATATCTACCTCAGGGAGCAATTATAACCACCACCTCCACAGGTTCCTTCTATTACATGTAAAAATCTATTTACTTTGATATCATGACATAACAGGTGCTAAAAGGTTAAAAGAACAGTAATTATTTGCAAATACAGTTCAATTCAAGTCACAAAGGACACAAAATGAATAAAAAGTTCAAAGAGAAAAAAACGCATAGAAGATTATTAGAAAACAAGACTGACTGAAGGAAATGTATTTCCAAAGGCTGCAGACTGTTTCCACTATCACATACATGCAGGGTGTACCTTTGATGTAACATCCTATTAGAGCTACATTTAAGCTTACAATGGAATATTTTAGGAAAATTACAGTCAGAGCTAGTATCAAAGCGTTACCTCTGAATATTTTTTATCATCCTGTGGTCTCATTTAATCCACACAGCAAATGTTTTTAAACATTTTTGCTACTGCACCTTAAATAAACTAGAAAAACAAGCTCACTTTGGTATCTCAAAATTGAGCTGAGACACCAGAAAAGGAAGAACTAAGGTGTTACAGAAATTACAAATTTAGACACAGCCTAACTCTTAATCAGTAATTATGAAAATTAGTGACAACTCATGTCTATGTTAGTTCAAATTAGAAATCGTCGTTAATAGTTCAGCCAAAAAGAACTGTATCCTTGAACCAAACAGTCAACCTAGTTTTGAAGCTGTCTCTCTCAGTAACATTAGATTCTAAAATCATACTGTATTTTACATCAGGCCAGCATTGGTTGGGTTTTGGGTTTTTTTTGTATGTCTACATAGATACACAGTTTAGTGAACCTTTTGTACAGCATGTAATCAGTTGAAATACACAGAGGCTGTGAACATGAAGACCTGCTACGGATTCTGTCATCCCACCTTTCAACAAGTAAAAGTCTTTCTGCAATAACTCAGATAAACACACCTTCCCCCAGACGCTTGCAGGAACAGAGAGGTCTTAGTCTTCCCTGAAGATCAATAAATCCGAGTTCTGTAAGCTAATCTTGGACATGAAATAAAAGCACTGTGTGACAGCATCAAATTAGACCAGGATTATTAAAAAAGCTGCAGAGATATATTGCCCTCAGTAAAAAAGAGAAAATGCATTAAAGTTTCTAGAAAATCAATTTAGTCATTCAGGAGGCTAAGCATTCCCAACTTCCGAAGTCAATTTAAAGGGGATCACAAGCAAACTAATGCTCAGGAAGCGCAGTAGTTCATATGCTTGAGTCTGTTACATTTATGACAGCATTTTTACTGGAAGAATTTGGCTTAGTATTTACTGAAGTTATTCTGAGCCCTATAGCTACTCTTCTATCACAGCCGTTACCAAGTTATCCCACTTTATACTATTACATTTAAAGTTAAGCCAGGATTTCTGCTAGCTTTACTCACATTTTCCCAGGGTATTTGTTTATTTATTTTAGTTTACGGAAATGTCTTTCTTCACCTGCACTTTTCCCCTCAGTGCAATTGCAGAATTTCTGACTGCAAATTCAAATATTTATAGTGCCCCCTTCTGGAACTCAAGCTAGTGAGCACATAGCATCCAAACCTGACAGCAGTGACAGCCCAAGTACCATCGCAGTTCTCACTGATACACCACCCACAAAAGCAGAGGAAAAAAAGCATCGCACTTCAGTTTACAACACGAGTTACAATTTGGACCTGAAGCAGGTATTTAATTCCTATACTGTTAAAGAAAAGGCAGAGAATAGGGAAGCTTTATTATGCTGCTTGTTGCATCTTCCTGTTACTTCTACAGAAATATTACCACCATATGTTATATGGTATGGCATTCACTTATCTCATCGCACATCTGCCTTAGTAGAGGAAGAAGCAATACAGAAGCACTTTTAAGATATTTCTGCTTCACTCCTCCATATGCATTCAACCTATGTAAAGGATCCTAATAATAAATCAAAATATCAGGAACACTTAAATATTTTGAATATTTTTTGTTCTGTTCTAGTAAAAAGAGAAAAAGAAAAATGAAATCAAGCAGAAAGCCAAACTAAATGCAAAGTCTGACCAAATTTATCAAATACATCACTAAAGCAAGCACTGCGCAACTCAACGTCTACAGCAATTTTGAAAAATGCGTGTTCCCCAGGCACCACTACAAACAAAGCCTTCCTAAAAGGCAAAGAATTTCGGTGTTTCCACTCCAGCAATTATACCTGAATTATGTGTCTCCCTTCCTAAACCCTCACAGTCTAACACGAGCAAGGGATTATTTCAGTGTACCAGCTGATGGCCTATTGGAGGTGATCCGGGTTTTGGAGCAGAATATAAGCAAAGTTCAATACCCTAACAAGGTTCTGAAAAATCAGCTGTGGCCAATTTCCTACTCCATCCTCTCCCTTCAAACCCCTTGTTTTTTCAGTATGAAAAACTGAAATTTTCAAGAACCGATGTATCGCCTTCCTGCCAAGCAACTTGAGCACAAGTTTTCATTTTAGTTCTGAACTAATGGACGGAAAATACTTTAAAAAAAATTTGCATATTTTTAGAGCTCCATTCTGCATACCGTCACAAGTTTTAACAGGTTTTGCCATAGACATTAATAAGCAACATTGAAGTATCAAAATATTGGTACTAAATACCCCTGAAATTCTGCAGGTCGGTTCATTTTGCAGATGAGTATGTTAACACTGAATGACTTGATATTAAAGTAGTTAAACAATGCAAAAATAGTGTACTTACCATTTGAGGTACCCCAAAAACAACAACATTTGTATAATGTGAAAAAGAAACCTAGAAGAAAATTTGAGAACAAGCCTTAATCAAAATAGTATTTATATTTGGAGAGGTTCTCACCATTCTTTTCCCCTCATCCCTCTCGCTGCACTCTTTTCAACACAGACTTAGACCGAAAGAAAGGAGACCCCGTGTCAACTTTGCATCACACAAATTTCCACATGAAGACAATTTCATATTGCTAAACAGCAAAAAGCTTCTACTGCCTGGCAAAAAATATGGCACCAAATCTAGCAGCATGAAAAGTATCCATTTAGAAAAAACGTACATGATTTTACTCATGGCCAAGTTTTTCTACAACTCTTACACACGTTAAAATGAGGTATATTTTAAGTTTGCTCCCATTTTTTTTAAATGTTAGCTACCTATTAAAAATCCCTAGGAATTCCAATGCTTAGGTTCTTCCAATTAGTGCCCTGAGGTTTCCCTATGCAGTTTACACAGCTAGAAAAGAACATGTCTAGTGAAATGTCAGATGAGACCGTGACCGTGCACATTAGGTGAATAAGAATCTTGCCACTGACTCCACAGAATCAGCTCTCTGTGACACCCGACATTACAGCACCCCACATCTTTCAGCAGGCACAAGCATGACATCACATGCACAAAACCAACAGAGCAGTGTGTTGTGCTCTCTGTCTAGTTTCTATGGGCTCAAGGACTTCTCCCAAAGCCCAGTGCAGCACCCTATGGGCAGTCAGCATTTTTGTTTTTTCAGGAAAGTGTCTCCAAATTACGTGAAATCTCTCTAACATCCCAGATTCATTATTACACACTCCACCACCTACCTTCCATAAGTCAGAAATATAAAATTTGGTGTTCTGATGTACCCCATCTCTCCAGGCACGATATCTGGAGTACCAGACTAGCCAGGGATTTAATTCATAACCGACTGCTTTGAATCCCCTTTTTGCAGCTGCTATCACCTACAAGGAAAAAAATAAACCTTCATTTACAAGCAGAGAAAGCGTATTCATCTAAACAGGAGCACATAGTTTTATTTACAATATAAATCAAAGGAACTCACTTTTCTAAGTCACTCCGGTTTGCATCGCCAAAAGGTTCGTAGCATAGTGAAGAAAAACTCAAACTACGTTTTACTACTATGACCAGTCCCATTGAAATGAATAGATTTAGATGAACAAAATTAACCACTTAAGCATTCACAGGACAAAGCAGTAAGCTTGTAGTATGCCTACAGCATATATAAAAGTTTGATTTAACATATTCATGACACTACCTTGGAATTACAGAGTACCAAAATTGATCATGCAGAGAACAGTGAAATACACAAGCAAAAATAGTCAGTTAGAGCATTTCTGACAAAAATGGTCAGAAAAGCAGTGATGGAGATGCTTGAAAGGCCCATGAATCAGAGCCAAAATGACCTACCAATAGAAGATGTATTTAAGTAGCCTGTTCACCTATGTTTAAAAAAAATAGGCCAAAAATTAAATGTAGGTTAAAAAAATTGAAAAAGCCCCCCTACATAAAACTCACAGTTTAACCTTTCTCCAATGCTAAACTTCATACATCATTTAAAAAGGCAAAAGGTAATTCAGGTAACAAACAGATGTTCGAAGACACTCCTGTAAATTAGAAAATTAGACCCTAAGATTTAAAATTGCTAAACTATAGAACAAGTGGTGCTTGAGGACATGGTCTAGTGGGTATGGGAGTGTCAGACTGATGATGTCAGACCAGATGATCTTATAGGCCTTTTCCAACCTTAGTGATTCTGTGAAGTGTATTCGACCAAGATCAGTCTTATTTTTTAGGGGAAAAAAAAAAAGGAAATAGAAAAAAGCACCAGTTTCTAGAATTAAGGTTTAAGTCATAATTTAAAAGGCTACTGCTGAATTTTAATCAGGAAAATCCTGATGAACTGTGAGTTATAGAACAGGCAAGGTGAAATCAGTAGGAAGTACACATTTCTTAATAGAACTTCTCAAACAGCATGACTTGGACAGTGCATTTCACACTATTAAAATAAAGCACCTTCCATCATGCACACAGCATTTGCAAATACACTGAAAGAATCTGATGTTTTTACCATGCTTGGAAAGAAAAGATATGGACATATTTTATCCACCAATTACACCTGAGTAAGTGCTAAACATTTTAAAGCATCTGAACAGAAACTCATATTTTTTCAGGACAGATGCATTAAGACCACACCAAGCATTCCATTTCAGGCACACGGCCCTCTGAGGAGTCTTCAGTCTCCGTTTAGGCAGACACACACATATATATGTAAAATCAGAATTAAACATGCCATGCCTAGTCAGATTATGTGCCTCAGAGGAGCATCAACAGACAGAATGCTGAGTAAAGAGGTGAGCTGGTTTTGGCTGGGATAGAGTTAATTCTCTTCTAGTAGCTAGTATGGGGCTATGCTTTCGATTTGTGCTGAGAAGAATATTGACAACCCACTGATGTTTTAAGCTGTTGCCAAGCAATGTTTACATTAAGCCAAGGACTTTTTCAGTTTCTGATACTGCCCCTGTGTTCCCAGCTGCTTCTCTACTAGAAGCTGGGAGGAGACACAGCCAGCACAGCTGACACAAACTGACCAAAGGGGCATTTTCTTCCCTGAAATGTCATGCTCAGCATATAAGTTGGTGGGAGTGGGCCAGGGGGGTCTCACTCTCCTAGTCTGGCTCATGCTGCTCAGGAACTGGCTGGATGTCAGTCAGCAGGTGGTGAGCTGTTGTACCATGCTTTCTTTTCCATTATTTTCATTACATATTAGTAGTAGTGATAGTTTAATTACACTTCAGTAGTAATGTTAGTATTATTAGTATCATTATTTATTTATGATTATTAAATTATTCTTATCTCAACCCACAAGTTTCCTTGCCTTTTCCTACAGTTTTCTTCCCCATCCCACTGGGGAAAAGGGGAAGTGATTGAGCAGCTGTGTGATGCTTAGTTGCTGGCTGGGGTTAAACCACGAGAGAGGGCATGACAGACCGCAGCTCTCTGGTATCTACATGCTCTTCTCTGTTCCCTGCTCAGGTACAATTCCTTCTAAGCTACCTTCTCAGATTTTGATTTTCAAATCAAATTTTTTAGTGTGGACAAATGGTTGAATAGTTCACATTAAGTATGGACAAACATAGCACTTAAAAAAGCTTACTTGTTTCCATCAAAAACCCACTTAGCGTGCCATCCTGCTGCTAAAACTGACTTGAAGCACATGGTTAGAAAATGGTACACCAAACAGCACAACAACAAACAAAACCCACCCCATTCTCCACTATACTCTCACCACCACATTTCACAAATAGGCATTCAATGTCCTGGAAGCACAGTACCACTTGGACTTTGGTGATTCTCACCATTTGTCTTGGTAGTTATTCTAGTTTCACCACACTCATTTAAAGCAGGGCAGCCAGCACTGCACAAAGGTGTGAAGACCACAGTTCTAACAATACCAAGATTTTTATGTTTGTAATCCATCACTCATTTCTCATTCTTGCTTGTTCTTCTATCACTTTTATACAACGACCATAGAGCTGCAGCTCCAAAGCACAGTGCTGTTTAATCTCACAGCCTCGCGCGTTGTGGCTATAAACCTATGTGGAATCACAATACCAATACTTTGACTGCACCTTTTCATGTGAATGCAGTGCAATTCCCTCCAGCCAACAGGGTAATGTATCATTTTGTACACTATTTTGTCAAGCTGCAGGTAAGGCGGAAGCAAAAGTATTGATTAGTCACCTGAACTGAATTGTAAACCTTTCTGAGCTTTGAGCCTTTTCATAAGGCACAAACAAACACACTGGATGCTAAAGACAAGACATTCATTAAGTATGAGAAGACAGCAGCAGCCACAGCTAGAGCATTTGGCACTTTTTTGAGAGGCGACATAAACGAAAGGCAACATCCTTAACTTACAACACGGCCATCCCCGCTACCAATATCGACTAGGGAGCCGCTTCTGTTTTCTAACATTTTCAGCACATTCTGGATCTGAGTGGAAGTTGCAGGAACAAAGGGCAGGCACACTTTCCTCAAAGCCGGGATCACGAAGGGGGTGACCACAGCGTACAGCACAGCCAAGGTCCCACCAACACCAGCAGTAACTAACAGTCCCCAGGTTCTCTTCCTGGAGCTGCCCTCGACATCCACATGTAGGCCTGCTGCAGGACTCTCGCTCACTGGCACCTCAGACATCACACCTAGAAACAGACATTAAGAGAGTATTTTCTCCAAGAGCTTTACTACGTGCTCAAGACAAAGCAGTGTATTACATCAAACACATAGCACATCATAAAAAAAAAAAAAAGAAAAAAGCCTTATAGCCCGCTAGCTGACTTCTAGACCTTGGGGAAACGTTACTGCTTTTGAGAAACTGAAGCGCTGGGATTATTTCTCCAGGCGGAGGACGCAATTTCCGTTTAAGCCGCTAGTGCATCCAACCCGGCGGAGCAACAGCGCGCCCCGCAGCAGCTCAAAGAGGCCGCCGAAAGAGACCTCTCGGTCCTGGACCGCCCGCAGCCTGCACCGAGCAGTTATTAGCCCGAGAAATTATTAGCCTTCCCTTCGCGAGAAAGGTTTCTCAGGAGTACAACAACCCCAGCTACCAGGCCGCCTGTTAAGACACCCGCTGTCCACCAGCGCTCACCCTACCACAGCCAGCGGCCTCTCCCGACCAAACACAGCCAGCAGCCTCTCCCAACCATAGCAAGCAGCCGCTCCCGGCCGGCACTATTTATAGAGGAGGGCCATACCACTTCGCCGTGTGGCGAGGGGGACAGGGGGCGGGCGGAACCTTTCTGGAGACGCTTCGGAGAGGAGCGGCGCGCACCCTTTCGCCGTGTGTCTGTCCCTACTCGCTTACGTCATCCGGTGCAGCCCGCTACTACCGCGCTTGACGCCCGTATTCTACCTAGTATAGTACTCGCCCCCTCCCGCAGGTGGCGGATGGGGCAACTCCCAGGGTGCCGGACGCTTCCAGAAAGGTCCGCT